CTACGCCCACGTCGCTGGATGAGGTGTAGTTTGCCCTGGAAACGGGTGCGAAACTTGCGACATGGGCAGGACGCGTCATTCCCCCCCATATCCTGTGTAGGAAGGGGGTGGCTTCCTTCCTCGGTCTCTGCTGTCACAAACCTTGCCTTTCACGGTGGGTTTGATTGCCGAAACGTAAGATCCGTCGGACACACAGCTTTGGGCTGTGTGTGTCGTGGGTGTGGGTGTGTGGTTTTTGGCCCCGGAGTTGCGCACCTCCTCCAAGCCGGCTGGGTTGCGCAACTCCGGCTCTTGGCCTCTTGACGTGATAACCTGGGGTGGGTGTGTTGAGGTTGGTTGGCTGCCAACCAGTTGTGTGTGTTTACACGTGGGTTCCGGCCCTCGCTGAAGCATTCAGATGCCCTGTTAAGCTGGTTTATCGCAAACAGCCTCGGTTGACCCACAACCGATGCAAAAGAGTTTTCCGGGCCGCAACTCAGGAGCGGCTGGCGTGTGTTCTTTCCAGGATGTTTCTCGACCTGATTCAGTGTGAACAATTAGGGTGTGTGGATGGGTGTTGTGTTGTGGTTTAGCATATTGTGCAAGCAAATCGGGCGCGTTTTGTGGCGCGGGGTGTTGTGTTGTGCAAAGCCAGAAGATGGGTTGATTTGGTCATTGGTGAGCCATGCGAGGTGAATCTGGAACTAAGGAGATACCTCCTAGTGAGGACAATTAGCCAGTGGAACCTACTTGCCACCAGAAGTTGTGGGTGCTTCATTACTGGAGGTTTTAAAGGAAAAACTGGACAGTCACTTGTCTGCTCTTGCTCAAGCAGGGGGTTGGACTAGACTAGAAATAGAAATAGAATTAAAATTAGGAATAAGAATAGAATGGAATAGAATAGAATAATGGAATGGAATGGAATAGAATAAGGGAATGGAATAGAATAGAATAGAATAGAATAGAATAGAATAGAATAGAATAGAATAGAATAGAATAAGGGAATAAAATAGAATAAGGGAATGGAATAGAATAGAATAGAATAAGGGAATGGAATAGAATAGAATAGAAGAAGCAATAGAAGACGCAATAGAATAGAATAAGGGAATGGAATAGAATAGAATAGAATAGAATAGAATAAGGGAATAAAATAGAATAAGGGAATGGAATAGAATAGAATAGAATAAGGGAATGGAATAGAATAGAATAAGGAATAGAATAGAATAAGGGAATGGAATAGAATAGAAGCAATAGAAGAAGCAATAGAATAGAATAGAATAAGGGAATAGAATAGAATAAGGGAATGGAATAGAATGGAATAAGCAATAGAATAGAATAGAATAAGGGAATGGAATAGAATAAAGTAGAATAAAATAAGGGAATAGAATAGAATAAGCAATAGAATAGAATAAGGGAATGGAATAGAATAGAATAAGCAATAGAATAGAATAGAATAGAACAAGGGAATGGAATAGAATAGAATAGAAGAAGCAATAGAATAAGGGAATGGCATAGAATAGAATAAGGGAATGGAATAGAATAGAATAATAGAATAGAATAGAATAAGGGAATGGAATAGAATAAAGTAGAATAGAATAAGGGAATAGAATAGAATAGAGGAAGCAATAGAATAAGCAATAGAATAGAATAAGCAATAGAATAGAATAAGGGAATAGAATAGAATAAGGGAATGGAATGGAATAGAATAGAATAGAACAAGGGAATGGAATAGAATAGAAAAAGCAATAGAATAGAATAAGGGAATGGAATATAATAGAATAGAATAAGCAATAGAATAGAATAGAATAGAATAATAGAATAGAATAAGGGAATGGAATAGAATAGAATAAGCAATAGAATAGAATAGAATAGAATAGAATAGAATAGAATAGAATAGAACAAGGGAATGGAATAGAATAGAAAAAGCAATAGAATAGAATAAGGGAATGGAATATAATAGAATAGAATAAGCAATAGAATAGAATAGAATAATAGAATAGAATAGAATAAGGGAATGGAATAGAATAGAATTAGCAATAGAATAGAATAGAATATAATAGAATAAGGGAATGGAATAGAATAGCAATAGAATAAGCAATAAGAATAGAATAAGAGAATAGAGTAGAGTAGAGTAGAATAGAATAGAATAGAATAGAATAGAATAGAATAGAATAACAGAATTGGAACCCTCTGTTCAGGCAGGAAACCCTATACCAGCACACAGCAAGTAGCTTGTTTCAACTTTTTCTCTCTCTCTCTTTTCCCATTCTCCTTTTCTGCAGCTTGTACCTGGGAAATCCCATGGACCCCCCGGATGTCCTAGGATTGGATTTGAACCCTGCCAGGCCTACTCAGCTCCCAGGAAGGATAAAAAGTAAGAAATTTCATCTAACGTGTTCGCTGCGTGTGTTGCAGAACTGCGAGACCCAGAATGCCTTTCGTCTGGCGTTCCCACACCGGTGCATGCTGGGAACGGTAGTTTTCAAAGCCAAACAATAGTTAACGCCCAATGCAAAAGAATCTCTGTAGCGCAGGGTGTAACTGTGGGGTCCTTGGTGCTCTCTGAGCTGGGTGGGTTTTTTGCGGACATTTCATGACTCAACTAGCTAACGTCATCTGGGCTAGAAGGAAGAGGAGTTTGCAGAGGAGGAGGAGGACTGTGGGGTCCCTGGTGCACTCTGAGGCTGTTGGCTTTCTTGCAGACGTTTCATGACCCAACTAGGCAACATCATCAGTGCTCGAAGGGAGGGGGGTTTGAGGAGGAGGAGGAGAGAAAGAGAGAGAGAGAGAGAGAGAGAGAGAGAGAGAGAGAGAGAGAGAGAGAGAGAGAGAGAGAGAGAGAGAGAGAGAGAAAGAAAGAAAGAAAGAAAGAAAGAAAGAAAGAAAAGAAAAAGGACTGTGGGGTCCTTGGTCCTCTCTGAGCTTGGTGGTTTTCTTGCAGACGTTTCATGACCAAACTAGGTAACATCATCAGTTATAGAAATGGGTGTTTGCTCTTTGTTTATAAACAATATAATTCCTTCCCCTCTTAGCATTGATGATATTACCTAGTTGGGTCATGAAATGTCTGCAAGAAAACCACCCAGCTCAAGAGAGTACCAAGGATCCCACACTTTATCTCCTCCTCCTCCTCCTCCCCCCTTCTAGTACTGATGATGTTACCTAGTTGGGTCATGAAACGTCTGCAAGAAAACCACCCAGCTCAAGCTCCTCCTCCTCCTCCTCCTCCTCCTCCTCCTCCTCCCTTCTAGCACTGATGATGTTACCTAGTTGGGTCATGAAACGTCTGCAAGAAAACCACCAAGCTCAGAGAGTACCAAGGATCCCACACTTTTTCCTCCTCCTCCTCCTCCTCCTCCTCCTCCTCCTCCTCCTCCTCTCTTCTAGCACTGATGATGTTACCTAGTTGGGTCATGAAACGTCTGCAAGAAAACCACCAAACTCGGAGAGCATCAGTTACTTTGAGACAGGGTTAAAAAAAGATGAGACTGCAACCGCAGTGTTTCCTGGGCTCCTCCTCTCCCATCTGAATGGATGGGAACCATGGACGCTGTAGTCCCTGCCAGTTGGAGACGGCTGTTTTCTCCTATCTTTCCTTTGCAAGGGATTCGAATCCTGGGCTTTTCAGGGCGTTTTCCTATCCCCTCGCACTCGCATCTGCTTCCCTTGTTCCTCCTCTTCCCGAATCCAGTTTCAAAAGAATCTCGTACGCAGCCCTCAACTTACGACCGCAATTTCCCTCGCGAGTCCCTGCGGTCGTAAGTTGACTCAAACCCAATTTGGCAGCCATTTTTTACGCCTCTCTCGCGTCGCAAAGCAAGCCCAGTGGCTGTAAGCGGGAAGCCACGTCGTAAATGTGAGCCGGTGGCCAAGCATCCCAGCCACGATCACGTGACCCTGTGGGTGGGGTGGCGGTCATAAGCGCGAGGAATGGTCGTAAGCGCGAGGACCAGGGTTTTTCCTGCCCACAATGGCCATAACTCGAGGACCACCTGTAATCCCAAACTTCAAACAGCTGCTTGTCTTTATAGTCTGTTATGAGCCGCCCGGGAAGTGTTCCCTGAGATGGTGTGCCCCAGGGCTCTGTTGTGGGCCCAGTGCTCTTCAACATCTTCATCAACGATCTGGATGAGGGGATAGATGGGGAACTCATCAAATTTCCTGATGACACCAAGCTGGCAGGAAAAGCCAACACTCCAGAAGTTACAGGCTTAGGATACAGGAGGATCTGGACAGACGTGAACACTGGGCGCTATCTAAGAAAATGAAATTCAAGGGTGAAAAAAGTGAGGTTCTACATTTAGGCAAGAAGAACCAAATGTACAGGTGTAGTATAGGGGGTACCTTGCTCAATAGTAGTAACTGTGAGAGGGACCTCGGAGTCCTAGTGGACCATCCCTTAAACAGGAGCCAGCCGTGTGCGGCAGCTGCCAAAAAAGCCAACACAGTGCTGGGCTGCATTAACAGAGGGAGAGAATCAGGATCAGGTGAAGGGTTAATACCACTTTACAAGGCCTTGGTGAGGCCACACTTGGAATACTGCACCCAGTTTTGGTCACCACGATGTAAAAAAGATGTTGAGACTCTAGAAAGAGTACAGAGAAGAGCAACAAAGATGATTAGGGGACTGGAGGCTAAAACATATAAGGAACTGTTGCTGGAATTGGGTAGGTCCAGTTTAATGAAGAGAAGGACGAGGGGGGACAGGATAGCCAATGTTCCAATATCTCAGGGGCTGCCCCAAAGAAGAGGCAGTCAAGCTATTCTCCAAAGCACCTGAAGGCAGGACAAGAAGCAACGGGTGGAAACTCATCAAAGAGAGAAGCAACCTAGAAGGAAGGAGAAACTTCCTGACAGTGAGAACAATTAACCAGTGGAACAACCTGCCTCCAGAAGCGGTGAATGCTCCGACACTGGAAGTTTTTAAGAAGAGATCGGACAGCCATTTGTCTGAAGTGGTATATAGGGTTTCCTGCCTGAGCAGGGGGTTGGACTAGATGACCTCCAAGGTCCCTTCCAACTTTTTATTATTATTATTATTATTATTATTATTATTATTATTATTAATGGGCGTAGATAAAAATCAAATAAATAATAACTCAGTGACATATAATGTCCATGAGATTGTTATTTCTCAATGCAAAAAGGAAAAAATATTAAGTAGGCGGAAAAAACGCCATCTTCTCATCTGAGTACAGGCAAGTCTTCGACTTAGAACAGTTCATTTAGTGACCGTTCAAAATTACGACAGCACTGGAAAAAAGGGACTTAGGACCGTTTTTTTCCCCACTTAAGAACCCTTGCGGTATTCTCCACGGTCACGTGATCCAAATTCGGCCACTAAAGACAACTGACTCGTATTTACGACGGTTTCTGCGTCACGCGGGTCAGGCGATTCCCCTTTTGCGACCTTCCTCACCAGTGGGGGAAGCCGGATTCGCTTAGCGACTGTCCTACTGATTTAACAACTACAGTGATTCACTTAAGGACAGAGCGGCCGGATAGGTCGCAAAACGGGGCAAAGCTCACTGAACGGCTGTCTCGGTTCGCGGCAGACGTTTTGGGCTCGGCTGCGGTCGTACGCGGAGGACCGCCTGTAACGTCGTCCCGCAATCCGTCTCCATTTAGGATCGGCCTGCTCCCTTTGGGCTTGTAACCTAGCCCAGGCTGATGGGCCTCGCTGCCTTTCTCGGTCCTCCCTGAAACCAAGGGGGTACATCGATTCCCATCATCCACTGCCTCCCGGAGGCTTCTGTGGGTACAAAGCCCAGGCTCGGGGAATAAGAAATCAAGTCGGGGGGGGGGGGGGC